TGGGGATTTGGGGATTTAGGGATTTGGGGATTTAGGGATTTGGGGATATAGGGATTTGGGGATTTGGGGATTTGGGGATTTGGGATTTGGGGATTTAGGGATTTAGGGATTTGGGATTTGGGATTTGGGGGATTTGGGATTTGGGGATTTGGGATTTGGGGATTTGGGATTTGGAGATTTTGGAATTTGGGGATTTGGGAATATAGGGAATTGGGGATTTGGGGATTTGGGGATTTGGGGATTTGGGGATATGGGGATTTGGGGATTTAGGGATTTGGGATTTTGGGATTTGGGGATTTAGGGATTTGGGGATTTGGGAATATAGCGAATTGTGGATTTGGGGATATAGGAATATAGGGATTTGGGGATTTGAGGATATAGGGATTTAGGGATTTGGGGATTTGGGAATATAGAGAATTGGCGATTTGGAGATTTGTGAATATAGTAATTTGGGGATACAGGAATCAAGGGGAACCACCTAGATATCTAGGGATCCAGAGATACAACGATTTGGTGGTATAGGAATTTAGGAGTTTAGGAATTTGGATATCTAGGGATTTAGGGGTATAGCGTTGTGGAATTTAGGGATTTATTGATATAGAAATCTAGGGGAATCACCTAGGTATCTAAAGATCCAGGGATATAGCAATTTGGAATTGAAATCTAAATCGAATCGTATAAAAAATCCGAGTAATATTACTCATAGCTGAAGAAGTGCGTCACGAGTGCGTCATAAATGCGTCTGGAATGCGATACAAATGCGTCACGAGTGCGTCATGAATGCGTCACATGTACAAATAGGTGCGTCACAGATGTACTATGGGTGCGTCACGAGTGCATCACAGATATACCATCGGTGCGTCATGGGTGCGTCACGAGTGTGTCACAGGTATACCATAGATGCGTCACGAGTGCGTCAAGAGTGCGTACAGATGCAAGAGTGCGTCAGAAATGCGTCACGAGTGCGTCACGAGTATGCCATTGGTGCGTCACGAGTGCGTCAAGCGTGCGTACGGATGTAAGAGTGCGTCACAAATGCGTCGCGAGTGCGTCACGAGTATGCCATTGGTGCGTCACGAGTGCGTCAAGAGTGCGTACAGATGCGAGTGCGTCACAAATGCGTCACGAGTGCGTCACGAGTATGCCATTGGTGCGTCACGAGTGTGTCAGATATACCATAGGTGCGTCACGAGTGCGTCACAAATGCGTCACAAGTGCGTCAAGAGTGCATCACAAATGCATCAATATTGCGTCAAAAAAATGCGTCAAGAGTGCATCACAAATGCATCAAGATTGCACCACAAAAATGCGTCAATAGTGCGTCACACTCTCCAAAATATCCCAAGAATTTAAACAACCGCAATTCCGTTAATAAACGAACAAAATAAACGTATAACTATCAGTTCCGGTGTCGGTCCGAGATGCAAACAAACTACTCCGTTGATGGAATTTTTCCCTTTTGTTTTTTTTTTTTTAAAAAAAGGAAAGTACCTTCGAGCCGGTAGCACGGGTCGCGTTGAATTTTACATGAAGTACATTTAATCTGCGTCGTCAGGAAGCCCTGCAGGGTCGGCCGAGCCCTCAGCCCCATTATATAGGCACGGGGCTTTATGAAATTGTAAGCGAGCGGCAAAGGCCACTGGCCATAATCGACAATTCCATTTGCAAATCTAATTGCCACCCTGCCGTATTTTTCAACTAAAATTTCCTCAACAATTTTTCATCGTCAACGCGTTCCGCTTAATTAAACCGGCGCGAGACTTTCTATCTGTCTGCCTTTACTGACTGATTGAACAAACGGTCTTAACAATTTGCTGGGCGCTTGTTACGCGTTATTCATACGAGGAAGTATTTGACGAAGTTTAATAGCTTACTGTTGTAGTTTGAGTACGTTGTAGATGTAGTTTTGTGTGGGATGTAAGGAGATATTAATCTTGGGAGGATTGTTGGAGGTCTATGGAGATATATGGAGGTCCAGCGAGGTCTATGGAGGTCTATAGAGGTTTATCAAGGTCTCTATAGAGGTCTATGGAGGTCTATGGAGGTATATGGAGGTCTATAAAGGTCTCTATAGAGGTCTATGGAGGTCTATGAAG